GAGTTGGTCCTGGATCCGAGTTGGCATGGGTCCGAGTTGGAGTGGGTCTGAGTTGGTTTGGGTCCGAGTTGACCTGATCCCACCTCAAGCCAGTGTAGCCATTAATCTGATAAGCCCTTATTTGCATACAACTGTTTTTGCTTTTCTTTTACATTTGGAGCAAGATATGGGTCAGAGAGAACCCCCCTTGTGTTGGTCATTGTTGGATGGGAATCTCAGGAATTCCTTACAGACTTCGAGGGGGGGCGATGTGTTAGATAACAATAGTCTAGAGTGTGTACAGGGATTGGACAGGTAAGGGGGTTACTCCTCCGTCCCAGATCTTGCTTGGTATATTTTGTCACAAATAGGATGTAGGGGGTCATTATGCTAGGATAATCCCTGATGTTGATTATCCAGTTCCACAATGTACAAAGGTCCCCCCTTGTTTTACTAAATGTAAAGTTCAATGTTGATGAGTTCATTATTTGTTTATTTGACATGTACAAGTATAATGGTACATGTACATGTACATACATACATGTACATCTATATACATTTGGAAGAAACATCAGGCATTTGTGAATCAAACATGTTTACTACTGGTACATTTAAACGTAATCTTACTACATGTTGCTGCATGTACCTGTTATGTACTAGTATTTTCTGTTCATGTTGTCTGGTTGCATGTCACTTCAAATACTGGTATGTTGCATGTCACTTCAAATACTGGTACATATACCTGTTCAGCTATGCAAATAAAAAAAAAATTTTATCCTAAAATTCTGTTTCGGTAGACTTTAGCTTCGATGTCACTTCCACATAATTTAATTTAAACGTATTTCTTGGCCCCACCTCCCAGTCATAAATTGCTCTATAAAATGCAGACACAGTTTCGGGCGAGTTTATCAGCCACACATATTGAGTTCTTCATTAGCTTTTACTGCGTTCATGTTGGGCAGGCGTCAGCATTATTCAGCTAACTGCTAAGGGCAATAAATGTTGCTGCTCTGCTATTCATGATATATATTTATAAGTCTAAAGAATAGAGAATTCCTTTGTATGAACCTCATAGAGCAAATGCATGCGTACATGTATGAGAAGGGATATGAAGTCAGACTGCCCAGCACTAAGTACATGTACGGTACATGTACCGTAACATTTCTTTTGTCTTTTGAATTTAAAATCATATGAACATTTGGGAAGCATCGTAGGAAGTCTGCTAAAATGAGTTTCAGTGCTTCTGTCCTTTTTGTATTTTATAAAAGTACTGCTTGTGCACATGTACATGTACATTGTATATTGCATACATGTATTTCAATACTGAAGCTAAGGTGAAACTTTTCAAACTGCAGTACATGTATCTGTACACATAGTATTTCTAATTCTGTCAAAATTTCAAAGGGAGGTTCCAGGATTCAACTTTGTGATCCTACATACTGGTACCTGCTTGCATACATGTACATGTACATAGGCCTACAATACAGTAAATGCACGCAGTTCTGATGCATACATAACCTAAGGTCACATACAGACTCTAGAGGTCATTTTAATGAAGCATACTGAGGATGAGTCATCACTGTTGGCTCCTCTCCACTGGAGAAGTTGAAGAAGGTTGGGTAGCAATGTACATGTATACATGTACATATGTAAAGTATGCACTTGCACATGTGTCAGATTGATGAGATGCACGTAATGGGGTTTGGGGCCTCTATCAAGTACATGTACTCATTTATGTACACGTACAATGTACATGTACATATTGTAATGTCTCTCTTTGGGTAGGGAGTCGTCATAAAGAATGAGAGTCATTGGACTGACTTATACACACACTGCTGTTTTATTCTGAAGAATTATTCACATCTTCTCCATATTTACAGTGAGCAACTGCTACTAATAGGGCTGGATATTACTCAAGTACTGCTTGTCCAAATCAGAGCTATTTATTCGGGAGTAATAGAAAGGTTGTTCATATCGGGTCTGTACACATGAA